CCACCTCATACCCGCCCCCACCCCCAAATAAATCATGACGGAGAGTAACCGAGCAGGGAGGGAGGAAGACAAGCAGCCCCTGCCCAGGACAAAGTGCTAGAAGAACCCGCATAGAGGCAGGAAGCCTACGGGATGCCAAGCTCTGCATCCCATTCTGGGAGGTCGAGATTTGCATGAAACAGAGCAGTTTCCTCTGCAGTGATCTCAGGAGCATGCGTCAGAGACTGCATGAGGATGGTGTCCAAACTTGTGCTTCAAACACAAGGACAGAATGGCAGCTTACAGACATCGCCCTCGAGCAAGTCAAACTTCTGCCAGCAATTTCATGACATTTCAGCAATTTTAAAGCATTCTTCGTGTTACTAAACAATGAATAAGTAGCTACTTAACTTGGCATGGAAGCATCTATACCTCATAAAATATTGATTTCAGAAGCAACTGTATGTCTTTTGGAACGTTGGTCTTTTAGTTCTGTTTGGGTGTAATATTTAGAGATCCACCCTTTTTGATTTTATCTTTTGTGGTAGTACGGGGGGCTGCTTGCACCAGCTGCCCACATCAGGGGCTGCCCTCGAAGCCCATGTAGAAGATCTTGCAGGCCAGCGTTCTTTCAGCAGAAAGCTAACCCCTGAGAATCATTTTGTCTCTATCATGAAAAATGATGCTCTGTTTTCCAGAAGCGGGTTTCTCTTAGGAGCCTCAGGCTCAGGTCAGTGAAGGCTGAAATGGATCCACTGGTCTGGACAAATTAAGGTGATGTAAATCTTTTATTTTTTTCTAAAGGACTTTTAAATAAAATATTTGTAAATATTTATTAATAAACTGACTTGACATTGGAATGCACTTCAAAATAATCCAGTGGAGAACAAGGGGGGTGGGAAAGACTGGAGATGAAGCAAGACTGGCCATGGAGAGAGTTCATTCATGTATTCCCTCTACTTTTGCGTATGTTTGAAATTTTCCATAAGGCCAACTGTAAAAAGAACTCCCTTTTAAACAAATGGCCCTAAGGGATAAAATACTAAACTGTGAAAGTTCAGCTATAGAACACTGATTTAAAACTCAAAATATTCTTACTCAGAACGTGTATGCAATAAAATAAAGCATTTGAAATGAACAGTGATTTCCATTTGGCTTGGGTGATTCTCTTTAAGTAAAAATACCTCAAGGGCTAGGTCTATTAAATACAGTCATATGTCGAGCTGCTTTTTTTCAGGTAGGTTTTCATCAAATAGGTATTTAATAAACATCTATATGCAAAGAAATTCTGTACATTTTTTGTTGTTATTCACAGCATTTTTAACCACCTATTTATATCTTATAAACTATGGATGAACAATATCCAAAGTGGTAAAACAATTTTTGTAAAAATATTCTGCAAATCAGACTTTTCCTTAATTCAGCCGGGCTCTCCTCCTTCCTTCTCCAGATGTCGGAGGTGTGCCGCATTTTTGTCAAAGTCCTATCAGCCTGGTCTTTTCAAAGAGTGGAGAATGACATGCTCATTTTATTTCATGTTCTAGACAAACGCAACCGGACTCTGGGATACCATTTGGAACAATGGAGCACCCTAGTGGCCTACACAAGCCAATGAATCTCTCCTTCCATTCGAATTAGGTCTCACAATTTTTGAAACTAAGCAACTAGAAATAATTGGCATAATATTAGTCATATTATATCAGATGAAAAACATTTTGTGACTGAATGGGATAATTGCATCTAGAAAGGCATAGGTAATTAAACATTTAGTCACTCTCAACGTTAAGGGCCAAGTGGCCCACATACGCTATTCCAAAACTGTATATATACTCCCAAGCTGTCACGTACATGTTTCGCATTTTTAAATTTGTGAAACTGTTTTCTCCACCCCAACCTTAGGACTCCGACTTGTTGCACCTCAGGCAAGCAAATGCGAACATTTAAACCCTTGTCCTGTTTCCTGCTGTCTGAGGCACCACCGCGCTGGTCAATGGAACTGCTTCTGCAGCAGAATCACTGCACTCGAATCATGTGACATCGCGCACAGTAGGATGGCGCTGAGAGCAAGGGGGTCTGCTCTGTGCCTCATTTTTCCCATCTGTGAACTGGAGATCTTAGTAGCAGAGAGCTTCTCGTCTTGAGAGAATTAAATGGGTCATGGAAACAATAACTGCCCAATAGGCACTACAGCCATTGGCTGTCAGCCTTATTCCTCTGGGGCTGTGGGCCCATCACCATTCACATCCTTCTGTCTGCACGCGTGCATCCTGAATTCTTAGAATCTGAGTGACTTCATATGCCTCAGGTCGCATGCCCTCAAGTCAATAGAAAATCAACCGTTTGGGGGAAGATAATACTTGTGAAATCCTATATCTAAGTCTGCAGAATAGTGATGGAGCAGAATTACACACCATAGGACTTCATGACTTCGTTACTACACACAACTCATTGTCCTTTCTATTTTAACTGGAAATGCCCACAGCAGGGTAATAGGGAGCAGTGTAATCTCCTCAAGGTCACTTTCCAAAGAAGCGAGGGGAATATCCTGAACGCTTCTGCAAAATTTGCAGAACAATTTCCCCAGACCACAAATCCAAGAAATGAGCTGTAATTAATTTAGGTGCCTGGAGGGTGAATTAGCCACCCCCTGGATTATTTGGTAAGAAAGCCATTTCAGGTGAAAATAAGAATATCTTTAAATATAAAGAGGGTAAAGTAGATGATTTAAAGCCTTAAAGGGAAGAAATCCCAAGACTACAGTAAATCATTAATAAGAGCCATTCAATTCATTCAGAAGAAAATGGATTACTGACTTCGGGATCAAATTGTGTAAACCTTAATCATCATATAGCAGCTCCAGTGATTAGCTTCAGCATGAAGACCTTTTCTCTTCCACATCTTATCTTTAGCCCCTTTTATTCTAAAAGAACAACCTGTAAGATCCCATGAGAACATGCCATGCAAACGCGCAAACCTATTTCCCACATCACGGACCATCAAGAATTACCAAGTTTTCAAATGTGGAGTTGGAGCTCCAGTAATCTGGTGTGTGAGGATGACCTGGTTTCATATTGTTAAATTTTTGGTTATTACAGCTACCGTGCTGGGGCAGAAGTTGCCAATTCATGTATTTATGAGAAAGTCATAAGTGACTCAAGCCAATTTTTTCAAATGAAGAGTGTTTTGTAAAAGCCCACGGTAGAAAAATAGGTATTTTATAATTTTAGATTTGAACTAACAGTGCTGTACTTGAGGTTTTGATACGTGTTCTCAAATACTGGCTAATTCCGCCACAGGGAAATATAATTAGCAAATTCACGCACCATGCCTGGAGGCCCCACTGTACTTCTCACTACACTGAGTCCTCAGCTCAGGGATTTCCAGATGACGAGGTATGTCTAGAAATCCATTCACTTCACTTTCCTGAATAGAGTCAAGAAGAATTCACCCAATTCCTAACTATGGTAAAATGAGCTTTATGAGGTTTTAATTAACTTTTGGTTCTAAAAGCAAATATTATTTTGTGCATTTAATGCTTTTCCCATAGATTCCATTTTGTTCCTTCAAATATAATACATGACTTGTGAAATTCAAACATTCTTCTACTTACAAAGACAATTTCATTTATTAATGGCTCTATACTTAAATTGTTAGTAAAACAAACAATTAGCATATTTATCTGAAGAATAAATAGGGAGTAGGTTATTTATTCATTTGCTGAGTGTTGTTACCTTGATCTACTTTTCACTTATTCAGATTGCTTTCTGGATTTTCTAGAGTTTTTGTAATTTTCCTAAATGGAAAAGTAATTTTCCTAATCAAATAATGAAAGCTAACATGTTTATATATTTTCTTTTGGAGAGACAGCAAGTGAATGTGTATATAAAAAGTTACATCATCAAGCAACATTTTATTTCCAATCCTACCACTTGACCTTGAGAAGGCCTTTTTACCTCTTCACCTCCAAGTTTCCCATCTCAGTCTGTAAAGCGAGGATGTTAATAGTTGCCGTTTACCCGAAGGGGTGGGTATTAATGGCATCATGACTAAGGAGACCTGTTAGAACTTCCTTAGAGAGAAGAAGCTTTATATTAACGTAATTTTTCCTCAAAACACAGAACATTGGGAAATACCTTGATTTTGTATAAAAGCCTTAGGAGGTTTTTTTTGGGAAGATGATTTATGTTATTTGTGATTATTATGCGAACCTTTGCCAAACAACACCATTGGCACAAAGGTTACCTTATCTGAATGAAGTAGCATGTGGTTAGCAAAAATTCCTTATGGGGATCTTTTTGTTAGCTACCTTCTGCTTTTATAGGAACACAAAATACAGACTCTTTTTTTTTATACAGGCAACAGCCTGTGGCTGCAGTTGTCCGGGGTTTTGCTCACTAAGTGAGTGGACTCTCAGTGCAAGCCACGCCTTAGGCTGAGCTGCTCGATGAGAACATACAGGAATTCACAGATGGGAGTTAAAATGCTCCGTGGGTGGTACATGAACAGAAGAAAAATCATTCATCCAAAGCAATATCAAGGTGAGCAGTATTAAGTACAAGGTAGTGATGGGCAGGTCTTCACCCCAGACACCTGGCCTGGAAGTGAGATGGACAGCCAGACAGAAGGACACTCAGGCATTCATGGTGAACCCTGAATCAAATGGGAATCGGCCAGATAATGCTACAAAAATTCCACTTCCGCGTTAGAAGGGAGCATTATTAGAGAAAAGAGAACAACAGCTCAAATTTCATCTTGCTCCGATACTTACAAGTCATAAAAACGTACTGAACGCAGTTTTAGCACCGTGTGCTTTTATATCATGAGCTTTTCCGTGCAAAATGGAAATCTGGATTCTTACCTACTCGACCACATCGGCTGCATACGATTTTTCACGCTGTCATCTGCCCTGAATGGCCAGTGTGTGCATGTGTGTACGTGTGCGCGCGCGCTTCAGCACACGGACACCGAGGCCGAGATGGACGTCCATCTCCGTGTGCACACCCGTGTGTTGGTTCCCCTACCTTCGGGCTCCCTGATCCTCCGCCCCGCCGCGGACTTCCGGAGCACGCTCCTTCCAGAGCTGAAGAGGCTGGTTAGCTCGTCCAGAGGGCTGCCGAGCGCCCTGCAGTTCGGGGGGCTGTAGGGTCCCGGGGAGGAGGGGCTGGCGCTGGCCCTCCGGTGCTCGGCCCTGGCTGCCCTCCCGGGGGAGTAGGGGGCCTTGGAGAAAGAGCTGCACGGGCCCCCCGCGGGCGCCGAGCTGGGCGGCTGGGGCGCTTTGGACACGTCGGGGCTGGCCACCGCCGCTCGGCCGGCGTTCCCCGCGGGCTCCGGGGGGAAGGCGAAGTGTGTGGGCGGCCGGGGGGCCGGGGGGGCCGGAGGGGGCGGCGGCGTAAGGGGGGACCCGCTCGCTGCGGGCGGGCCGGGGGACGCGGGCCTGTCCCCGTCGCCTTTTTGGTTCTTGGCGTGCTGTGGAGACAGGGGGCTCGAGCCTTCGGCCTGCACCGGGTACTTGAGGTTGGTCTCCAGCACGGGCAGCTTCTTCACCTCCAGGGGCGTCAAGGGCGACTCGTCGGACGCTGGGGAGCAAGTGACAGGGGTCGGGGGGAACACCAGGAGCGGCGGACGGTGAGGGAGCAGGTTGGGGAAAGGGGCCGGGATGTCGCACGCGTCTTTGCAGGGCCCAGCGGCCTGTCCGCGCCCGTCGCCGTCCTCCCGGGTGACGGGGTTCCGACTGTCGCTCAGCAGAGGGGGCGACGCGGACGCCTCGGGGGGCACGAAGTACTTCATCTCCTCGTACACGGCCTCGGCCTGCTCGGGGCTGCCGGCGCGGCCCGCCATCTCGATGTAGACGGGCTCGGGCTCGGGCTCGGGCTCAGGCGGGGGCCGGGGCTCGGGCGGGGCGCGCGCGGGGGGCGCGGGGACCCCGGGCGCGCGCTGCGGGCCACCTGGGCGCCGCCCGCCCGCCATGTCCTCTGAGGAGCCGCTGAGCTTGGTGTTGGGGCTGCGCTTGGGCTTGCGAGGGGGAACTTTCTTCATGGTGCTGTAGTCGTCGCTGTGAGGTCGGGGCCGGGTGAGCACTGCAGGGGGACAGGGGAGGGATGGCAGTTGTGAGCCAGACGCCGGGCCCCCGCCAGCACCCGCCTGCCTCCCTCCACCTTCCCGAGCCCCAGACTGCCAAGGAGGAAACCCATTCAGATCTTGGAGCTGGAGGCCGCAGCTACCCGTTGAAGAAGGCGTCATGTGGACAGCAAGGCGCCCGGGATTGCCAGCCACCTGCGAAGGGGGAGCTCCTGGCCAAGCCCTGGGAAGGGCCTTTCAGATCTGCTGCTGGAACCTACTAGACCTGAACGCTTGGGGCCTGATACAGCTGTGAAGTAAGTGTTGGCTGAACCTATCCTCACGATTTTAGAGACCAGAAAATAAAGACTAGGGCCAGCAAGCCCATGAGCTAGTTAGTGCCATATGGATGCTTCCCGAAGGAAATGCCTAAGCTCATTGTAAGGGGTATACAGTGAACAAAACACCAACAAAACACCAACGTGCATGGAGAGATTATTTTCTTAGAAAAGAACTTTATGAAACACGATGCTTGGGGTGAGTTTTACAACATACTTGAATCCTTAAGAGAAACACATATTTAACAGGGAAATCAAGAGCACAACATTTCACTAAGAACTTCTAAGGTGGAGCGGTGTCCTGCTGGCTCAGTGGGGAGGGCACGTGACTCTTGATCTCAGGGTGGAGAATTTGAGCCCCACCCTGGGCACAGAGATTACTTAAAACAAAACAAAACAAAACAAAAAACAACAAAAAACTTCTAAGGTTGGGGCGCCTGGGTGGCTCAGTTGATTAAGCGTCTGCCTTCGGCTCAGGGTCCTGGGATCGAGTCCCGCATTGGGCTCCCGGCTCAGCAGGGAGCCGGCTTCTCCCTCTCCCTCTGGCCCTCTCCCTGTTTGTGTGCGCTCTCTCTCACTCTCTCTCTCTGTCAAAGAAATAAATAAAATCTTAAAAAAAAAAACAAAAAACTTCTAAGGTGGAAACTTCTTAGGTTGAAATGGGAGATATTCAGAAAAACAATGAAAGAGGGAGAAGAACCACTTAAATATGACCCTAAAACATTTATTAAAGGTTAATGTTAAAAAATTCCCCCCCCCAAAATTTCAAGAGACTTCTTTTTTAATGTATTTTTACTATATATTGTAATCGCGTTCTTATTAACTAACTATAATTTCTCTGGAAACTGAGATGTTAATTTCGGAAAATTGTGTAAAGTTTTGCTGAAGTAGCAAAACTTCTCGAAAATCTTCAACTATTTTATTAATTTTGTATTTTACTAATCTGAAGGAATTTGTAATGTAAGCGCAGCTAATTTTGCTGAGTTCCTGAGTTATCTGAGGCAGCCAGGTTTTTCTGTCACTATGCATGTATTACAGCGGTGTCTGTCTCCAGTCGTGGGGCACCAGTGGGGTATCATGGCTAAAAGGAAGGACTTTGGAGTCAGATCTGGATTCAGATCCCAGAGTGACCATCACTCATGCAGTCATTCACTTAGTCGTGCATTCAAGCAGCATTTAACTGAGACACATTCATGAACACAGACAGAATGTTCCGTACCTTCTTCTGCCCTAGCGGGAGGTGTCAGACAATGAAAGCAAGTAAATGAAACAGATGAGTAAATTCTCTCGCATGTTGGAATGTGATACATTCCATGAGGACCAGGAACACCAAGCCATAATAAGGGGGTCAAGGAACTATGTGTATGTGTTTGGGGGGTCAGGGTGCAAACTATAACTTAAAAGAGGTCTTGGGAACATCTCTCTAAGCTCCAGCATCGTCACATGCAAAATGGTGCTATCAGTTATTAACTCAGAGGAATAAAAGGGAGACATACTGTATGGAAAGTGCTCAGCTCCTACTCTGGCACACTGTAAACACAAATCCAATGGGAGATATCCGAGAGAGAAAGGAAAAGAACAAAGCTAATTTTCTAACCCACTGGACATCTTTGTAAGCCAGTATTACACAGGGTTCCCCAAAGTAGCCAACTTCTAAGAGCAGAAAATACCCAAAATGCACAATTCTGTAATTCATAAGCATTATTCCAAAGGCTTTCAGTGTGCTAAAACAGAGCAGCTCATGAGCTTCTAGAAAGTTAATGAACCAAACAAATTTTTAACATTAGTATCACGGAATTGCTCTGAAGATTTGGATAATTTAAAGGGTTTGTGGCAGACTGTATTTTCCAAAACTGGCTTCAACAATATTTTTCAATCCCACATGCTCGTCCAGAACCTTGAAACCGGCAGGGCCTCTGTGACTGCCCCCTGATGAATAAACTATGACAAAGGGGAAGCCACCTGCCTTCTGAGGCTGGCTCATGGGCAGTACAGCTTCTGTCCAACTCCTGCTCCCCTGGGATGCGTCTTGGGGGCCCTGATCTTTTTGCATGAAGTCTGTCTACCCTGGAGCAGCCCTGCTGTGGAGAACCTGCGGAAAGGCCGTAGAGGTGGGAGATGCCAGGTGACCCCATCTGCTCCAGGCCTCAGCTGTCTGGGTTCCCCCGGCCTAGACACCAGAAATATATAGTGAACTGAGTCTTCGATGATTCCAGCGCCAGCCACTGTCTGACCACCGCTGTGGCTCAGCCCAGCCAGCTGCTGGAGCTGTGGGAGAGAGAGGATCATCATCACTGTTCTTTTAAGCCACTGCAGTTTGGGGAGGTTTGTTAACACAGCGACAGAGGACTATGCCAAGGTTTGTTACACAGCGACAGAGGACTATGCCAAGGTTTGTTACACAGCGACAGAGGACTATGCCGACATTGGTACCAGTGGAGTGCTGCTACAAAGTAACTTGAAAAGTACGGCAGCAGCTTTGGAAGATCGGAGGAGCCTTGAAGACAGTGTGAGCGGAAGAGTGGTGATCCTCAAGAACGCTCTTGGGGAGGCTTCCAGGAAAGTGAGGAAGATGCTGGAAGCTGGAGGAAAGGCAGCCCTTATTAGGCCACCGCAGAAGGGTTATCAACAGTGTCCCCTACAATGATGTGGAAAACAGAAACCATGCTCAAGGAGCTGGAGGATCTAGTGAACGAAAGCTGCGGGCAGAGTGTGAACGCTGCCTTCTGGATTATTCTAGCTGTCTCTAGTAAAACGTGAGAGTAAACACCTAAGTGAAAGAAAGAGCTAGTAACTATAAAGGAGCCAGGACTTTCTCTCTCTCTCTCTCTCTCTCTTTTTTGGAAAATAACATGGCTCCTCACTGATGGCTGTCCAGATAGCAGATAATTCTGAAGTGAAGACGTGACTTCCAGGCAGAGATGAAATCTGGGGCATTTCACTGAAAACCTAGCTAAAGATGAAGTCAAGGTCATGACTTCGAAACCCTTTATCAAGGCCTCAGAAAGATCTGAAGCAGTGTCTCATGCATCCTTCCCAAGCAGCACCACCACAGGCCTTCTAAGAACATCAAGAGTATCGCTCCACAGAACTGCCATAGAGAGCCCAGAGTAGAAAAGAGGTTGTCTCAAACAGTTAGTGTCTGTGGCTTTTCACCATTGGAGGGGATTACAAATTGACTCACACGAAACTCACAAAGCTTTTAAAGGAATTGTATCAGTGTGCACCGAAAGGGGCAGAGTCATTACAAAATGGAGAGTTCTGGTGCCTCAAAATTTTATGAGCAGAATGCAGGCTGAGAGAACTATCAACCCCAAACAAGGTGCCTCGAGTGGATTAGGAGTTATAACTCAAAGGTGAGCCAAGATTGCAGAGCACGGGCCTAAGAGCCATGGAAAATCATTCGCACCAGGATTCAATCCTACTCAAGCCATGAGCAACCTGTGCCCAGGTGTCCTTCGGAACTGCTGAGTGCCTCCCAAGCTCCCCGTCTCCAGTCAAGAGCATCCACACCCATCCTTCCAGTGTCTGCTTACTGCAGGGAGTAGAGAGCCTGTCTTCAGATAGAATGGGGCATCCTGGAAGAGCTGTCCACCTGAGCAGCCAGGAAGCCCAGGTCTGACCAAGACAACCAGATGGGGACTTTGGGCCGGGGCCTTGTGGGGTGAGGGAAAGAAGGCTTTGGGGAGTTTGGAAGGGGAGTGACTGTATTTCATGTGTGGGATGGGTGTGAATTGTTTTGTCCAGTGGGTGGATTGGAATTGTATTTTCCAAAAATTGGCCACAATAGTGTTGCTTTCGTCCTATTAAGAGATGGAGTCTGTTTCTCCTTCTTAAACCTGGATGCACCCTTGGGACCGCCTGACAGATGGGAGGGAGGCGGTGAACGTGAGGCTGCCTGACTTCCGAGGCTGCCTGGCTTCCTCTCTCTTGGATCATGTACCTTTGACACACTGCTTCTCTATGTATGAAGTCCAGCTCCCCTAAAGCTGTCACACCGCATAAACCACGTGGAGAAAGCATCTCGAGATAGAGACGCCCACGTCGTCCCAGTCCTCACATGGCCGAGGCACCAGAGTGCAAGGGACCAGCCTTCAGACGATTCCAACCACCACCTACAGCTTCAAGAAGGACCTTGACTGAGGACCACACAGAGGAGCCCATGAAGACTGAATTCAAATCTTTGGGCGTGAGAACTGGAAAGCTTCGGGCTTCATAAAATACAACTAGAAAACCACAGCTAAGAGTATTAAAGTCTCATTTGATTTTATGGCTGTTTCTCCGCCATGTCTGCGTGCGTGTGTGTTCACACAAATACTAATAGTTCATTGGCAAATATGGATCAGAGGGCTATGAACAATGAACTTATATTAAGAATTTTCTTTAAAAAATAAGTTTTTAAAAGATTTTATTTAATTGTTAGAGAGTGAGAGACAGAGAGCACAAGCAGGGGGAACGGCAGGCAGAGGGAGAAGCAGGCTCCCCACTGAGCAGGGAGCCCGATGTGGGACTCGATCCCAGGACTCTGGGGTCATGACCTGAGCTGAAGGCAGACACTTAATGACCGAGCCACTCAGGTGTCCAAAAAAAGAATTTTCTTAACAATGTTTTGAGTCCTAAGATTTATGGGCAAAACATCTGCGACTCCATCAAGATGGCATCAGGTAGACATTTCACAGTCA